ACATCGTCCGAGCTCTCGATCACCAAATTCCTTTACCTATCGGACACCTGCTGACCATATCGGAGCAAGCCAATGAGCGCATGCTACAACATTGCCAAGCAAACAGAAAACGGTTTGCTCTTGCCAAATCGGCAGTTCAGAAAGGAAAAGCCCCGGCCCTCGAAGACGGGCCGGACATTCCTAGTACTTCGGACCCAATACGGTTAGGGTCCATAGGGATACTCCAAAAATATGAACATTTTTTTAGGATCAAAACCATCCCGTGGAAATCAGCGGAATACGATATTGAGGTATGGGGAACCCCCTACAGCGCTGCAAATCGGCGGAATAGAGATGGGGACGTGGGGCTTAAAGGGGGGTGGGGGGCGGGGGGGCGGGGGGGCAATTGAAGAGTCGTGCAAGGTGTGGCGAGGATGCTGTCACCTGGCTATTATCGTGGGAGCAGTTCTTCGCCAGCCCCGGTGTTGAGGCGAGAAAGAGTGAGAGGGCGAGTTTTGAATGGGGTGCCGCTATCGCGTTCTCCGATTTGCAGTTTTTTTTTGTTTGTTTCTTTTTTTTTTTTCCAGTCGCAATGACTGGTTGGGTAGCAGYGGTCTTTCATGATGTCATGTKTTYTTGGCTACGGAATCGAGGAGTCCGTTGTGGAACAATCGAACGTTGTTTCTGGCCGTCGTCTTCAAACATGGGTTTATTGCTTCTTCTTCAGTGTTGTGCTTGTTATTGTGTGCGTGGTATTTTTTTTTCTTTTTCTTTTTTTTGGCTACGTTTTTTTTTTTTTTTTTCCCTTTAATTTGTTCTTCCCTCTCGCATTCATGGATGCAATGTCGTTTGCTCTCTCTCGGCTGTGACGCTCACCGTGTCAAGGGAGGGAATGCAATTGTTGGCACACATGGGATGTGCGGGGGGTGGTACACAAATTTATAAACAATACACATGGACAGGGTTGGGATTCTGTCATGCATGCGACGAGTACTGTGACGCACTTGGTTTGACAAATCACCTTCGCACACACACACACACACGCACACACACACACACACACACACACACACACACACACACACACACGTGTGTGTGTGTGTGTGTGTGTGTGTGTGTGTGTGTGTGTGTGCCGAGTGTGTGTGCTCGCTGATTCTCCCCATTTCCAAGTATTGTACACAGAGGACTGGAAAAAAACAGTATACACGACCGGTTTCACAAATCCCGTTTGCCATAACCCCTCCGTTGTCCATGTCCCCTACTGTTTAAGGACAGTTATGTATCACGTCGTGTTCAGCGGATGCGGCTGTACAGGTTGTTCGTAGAAGAAGTATCCATGCCGGCACACACACACACACACACACGAACACACACACACACACACACACACACACACACACACACACACACACACACACTTCAACTTCCCCACGGACTCGGCTGCGGAGCACCATGCAGACGAGCATGGTGACACACGTGCGTCACCAAGCTGTTTCTGATATCCTTCCCCAAATCGCTCCCTTACGTCGGATCGTTTTCTTGATCGGGTGCCTGGGGAACTTCATCACTAACGGCGGCACTGACGTGGCCTGCTCTCCGCGTCCGACAGGTCGTCGTCGCTGTCGTCCGACAAGTCCTCAGGGTCGATGACGACTCGTTGGTCGACCATGATATTGTGGAGAATGCAAATCGCCATGAACTCCTTGCACAAGGTCTTCATGTTGCAGATTTGTCGCCGTATGAAGTGCCTCCACACCACCTTCAGCCTCCTGAACGTGCGCTCGATACAAGACCTAGCAGATGTATGGCAGTCGTTATACATCCGCTGCTGCTCCGTCCTCGTGCCTCGCCAACCAGGGATCATTATCCAYGGGAGCAGCGGATACCCCGCATCGCCAAGCAAGTAGCGGCCAACAGTCCTCCCGTCTCTCAACACGMCGGATCCTGTACCRAATACACCCCTRCCTTCGCGCGCCATAGCGTACAGGGGAGACAGTCGAAGCACGCGAGAGTTGTGTAGCGACCCGAGACATCCGACGTAAACGCTGGAGATGCRGCATTCGTGGTCGCWCATGACCTGCGCTTGGACAGAGAATTRTCCAGTGCGGTCGTAGTAGCATTCGGCCCTCTCCCCCCTTGGCTTCTCAATGTAGATATGGGTGYCGTCAATAGCACCCACACAGCCAGGGAACCCCTTCCGCTCGAAGGCGTCCATTACTTCCTGCAGCCTTCTTCCCGTGGGGAAGGAGACGAGATGGCCGTACTCCTTGATGAGTGCATCAGCCACSTCTTCGTTACTCYGAAGGGCACGGCAGAGACCCAAGCCCAGCCCATGCGCGGTCTGCYTGTAGAAGCCGCCGGTCGCCCACCGGATTAGAGCGCAAGCCAACTTCTGTCCCGCCGGCACAGACTGCCTCCAGTTCGTCGTCTGGCATTGTATATGGGGGGCAATGCGGAGCAGTATCTCGTTGAAAAGTGGGCGAGGCAGTCTGCAAAACCGTCTGAAGACCTTRTCATGCTGCGCTCCGACCCTCTGCAGATCCTTCCACACCCCTCCGCTSMGCTCCACCACCCACAGCCTCCGCCGCCCATCCACTCGCCTGCCCAAATCCCCAATAACATCTGCCACCAGCGACATGCTGTGCAACACAGCACCAGCGAGAAGCAACAGTGCGCTCCACATCGGCGGTTCGCACGTGCGGACAGTTGAAGTAGCCTGAATCACAGCCATGGCTGCGGCATCCCTCCTGTTCAACCACTGCATGAGGATGAATACCAACGAGTCGTCCATTGGTGGGGAGCTTCACCTGCTGGAAAACGGGTCCAGCTTCGCTTGGACACTGAGGCTCTGAACTACAAGATCTCTCAGCCCTTGGGGCGGCCTGATTCTAGTGTARGTCTGATCCTACAGTGGAAAGTGCATCGAAAGCGCACAAATATATACTTGACTGTTGACAGGGCTACTGTACTTATTGAAAATCTGTAGCATCCAGGGGAATGGGTGAGTCTGTTGCCTCCTCCCATAGATGCTTGGAGATAACCAAACAGCCTTGCGCAGTAAAGGATACCCACTTAAAGGGGGTACTCCAGCTAGACAGCATTTTACCCCTGGCTATTGCAATATTGATATAGCTAGTATTAGTGTGGAGTCTCCTCCATTCTGCACAAATAAGATTACGTATTGCATATTTAAATTTGTTACGGAGAACAGAGAGAGACCAAAACTTATTTTGGAATCTTCTCTCTCTCCTTGCAAGCCAACGAATCCAAAATCCCAAAACTCTGAACTTGTTAGCAATGGTAAAAGCCTGGGTCTGACCCCAGCCCCCCAACATATTGAATTCCTTAGTCCATATCGTCCGCGGTCCATTGGCAAAATGCAGCATACTGCTGATCCAATCCCAGAACTCGGTTTTTTTCTTTTTTTCTTTTTTTTTTTGTTTGTTTGTTAAATGTGGCCCGATGGACCACGGATCAGATATTGGGCCTCGGTGCACTACACTTGAATCTTGAAGAATCAATTGTACGGCACCGCCGCACTTAGGGCCTCGCCACACCACTCTTGAAACGGGGAAATATGTCAAGAGCTGTCAGGCGTTCTCAAAAGTAGGGTTTTCAAGAGTTTTCGGCCCCTCGCCACACAGCACTCTTGAAAGGGCCATGCCGTTGGACACAGGATGAAAAACGACAGTCATACAACTTTGTTTTTTTCGCATGGCGTCAGGATAGCGGCCTGACAACTCTTCAAAATGAAAATCGATACTCCCTCAAGGGTTCGGCCAAGGACGCTTGAAATCGCACGAGTTGCAGGCTCTGGCTGGGGTTTCCAATCTYTCGAGAGCTGCTCRTGAAAGGGTTTCAAGAGGCTGCCACTCTGACAGCTCTTGACTGCCCCGAGTGTCAAGAGGCTGTGTGGCGATGCAGCAACTCTTGAAAAAGAGTTTTCAAGAGTAGTGTGGTGAGGCCCTTACACTCGAAAAAAAAGCTGGGAAACAGCTTCAAGAGCTGTCAGATCAGTGCCAGATTCTTCAAGAGCGAGTCATAGCTGCACTCACTCTTGACGGATGCTCTTGAATTTATTTTTCAAGAGGTGTCAGAAGGCCCGATCTGACAGCTCTTGACGTGTTCAAGTGTGCCTGCCTTCAAGGGTGGTTTTTTCAAGGGTGGTCTGCCCGACCCTTCACGAGCTCTTCAGCTTTCAAGAGCGGGCCTCCAGTCTGGGCGGACAAAGCAGCTTTGCACCTTCGTGTAGCATTCAAGACTGGAAAAGAAATAAATAAATCAAAAATAAAAAATTCTTCAAGACTCATAGGGCCGTCGAGAGTCACTGCAGCTAGGATGGCTATTGTGAGCATTTCTCTTGTCTGGGAGCTCTTTTTTTTTTCTTTTTTTTTTTTTTGAGCTCTTGATCTACGCTTGAACTTTTTTGCGAGTCAAGCGTAGTAGTCCAGCGAGGTCCATTAAACTGATCAGAACAGATACTATACTTGATCTTAGCCAAAAGGCCGAGAAAGGTATTAGAAGTTAGAACTGTTTTTTTTAACTCTACTGAAGCTACCCCCTATGTGGGGAATATATCAGGAAATCCAGTAGAGGGCCGGGGATCCCTCTACGCGTTTTAGCTTCTKATGACCCTACCCTAAGGGCGACATCCCGCTGGCAAAGAGGATTGTAGTAAGTGTCTGAATGTGGACGTGTTGGAGGTCAGGTGCGAAAAATTATGGTTGAACGTCCAGATTCAGACACTTATTCCAATCCTCTTTGCCAGTGGGATCTGGCCCTAACCTTTATCCTCTTGTGCACCTGTCCTTCCCCTGACTGCCACCCTGTCCTTACTGTCTCTGCTGCATGATTGCAAAAACAAAAAACTGTGTCCTACAGCTCACACTCGAAAGAGGACAGCCTGATTGTGTGAGGCGGTGGCTTTTGTTTGAATTTTGGGCCTCGCCACACCACTATCGAAAATGCGATTTTCGATAGTTTCTCTTTGCCACACACTCTGTCGAATTGGGAGACGGGAAGAAAATCCGCCGCATGTTGTCAGAGAATGCTTCTCGACATCTCCTGTCTGTCAAAAGTTGTTGAATCCCCACCCAGCCTCCTGCTACTCTGATGCTTTTGACAGTCCTCGGCTGCACCATAGACTTCTCTTCGAAATTTGGTGAGTGGGGGTAAGGTCGGAATGGACTAATGCTTGTCGTACCCTCAGGCGCGTTCGTCTTTTTCCATCCTTCTTTCACAAGTGCGTCCACTCTACAGTGCTGTGCGGCTAAAGGGGKGCAAACTGTCGAAGGGAGGCTGTCRAATTTGTTCTGAAAGCCGTCAAAGTTTTTTGCCTTTAGACAGTGGTGTGGCGAGGCCCTTTCTCCCTCCCTTCGCCTTGCAGGAAAGGGGACTCCGAGGGCCAAGTCCCAGTCACGCTGATCCTTGATTTCTGGTCGTTGATGTTCCGAATCTGCAGTCAGAAATCGATCATTCGGGTAAGTGGGACTTGGCCCCTACTGTCTTCTCCGTGATAGAAGACATGCATTGGCCGTTATAGCTGCATTTAGTCCAAGTTTTAGATCAAATACAGCGTTTTTTGTTTCTTCCCGCTCCGCCCCCCCCCCCCAAAAAAAAAACATGCGGAGCACCTCCCAGTAGTACCCCTGGCACGTGGCTCCTGTCTATTGGTGGGGAGCATCACCTGCTTGAAAACGTGTCCCACAGAGGGCTGTTGTTATCACCCCCTGCGATACCCTTCAAGGATGTTAAGAAAAGAGGGGTAACTTCGGCGCAGTCACGAAAACAGTTTGAAAATGCACTTCAGGCAATCTCGGGAACAATCACACACCCACGTGACCCCACCGACCCGAAACCTAGGTTATATACATTCACCATTAGCGGCCTTTTTGYCTCAAGTGCATTTTCAAACTCAAACCCCGGGGGCCGCGCAAAATGTGCGCTGCGCTAGTGGCGGTGGCGGCGCCCGGTCGTCGGCRGCTGCTGAGTAGGATGCCACGTCGGGGCATGTGGACGCTGATCTTTTCTCGAGGCGCCTACCCTGCCGGGCACCAAAGCTGTGTGAGAGCTATGGCGACAGTGCCCTGGCATAGCCTAGCCCTTGAGTGGGTAGGGAGTGCCTTGCACTTTTACGCCATGGCATCCTGACAGCTCCACACTCTACACCAGAGCTCTATACCAACTTTTATACCTAACWGGATCTAGACACCAGAGGAGCCGTCCTCCCCTCARGCSGTTTGCTGGTAAGGGGGGSGCTCCTTTTCACCATCCAAAGGCCGTGCGCTGTACATTCATGACTCGCTATCTCGACTGCCTCGGTCATTAGGAAAGTATKGAAGGCGGAGCGACGCATCTGGACGCAGTGGGAGAGCGTGCGGCTGCGGTGGCAGCACTTCGGCATGTCCAAGGGCTACAGCAAGTCTCGGTTGACCTATCTACGTCCCAAGGCAGTTTGATGTTCATTTACCTCATGCTCTGTTTTATTCACTTAAATTGGTCGTTGTTTTCGTCCCCTACGGTCTGCTTAGTTTTCCGTTCCCGGTTACTAGTGTAGTTTGAAGGCCTTTGTATTGAGTTCATAGTACCTAGGATAGATTGATTGTAAACTGTTCTATCTGTGGCTCGTAGATTTATGTTTTAGGTACTTGGTTCTCGTATTTCGCTAAGGATTGTATGGAGGATGGACTCAAGGTGATGGCCTTTCTACTGTTATTCCGAGTTGGTTTTTTCTTGTAGTATTTTCTATTAGTCTATTAAAGTGGGGTTTGATGTTCGCTTAATTTCTTAGCTTTTTAGTAACTGCTGGAGTAAATTCCTCAGGGTGGCACGCTCTGTGACGAACTATTTTCTGCAATCTCACGACTTTCTGCGCGAAGCTATTTCGGGGGTTGGAAACTGGTTGGTCGGGTGAAAGATGGAGGGTGGGCCGGACAAGTTGTATGGTTATTCTCTCTTCTTTCTTTCTTTGCTTTCAGGACTAGAGCAGGGAAAGCCCTTCGACGACGATTGAGTGACCGCGCCTTAGTGAGCGCGATAAATAGCGGTTGCCATAACTTCTTTCTTGTTCTGCTGTGGGAGATACGAATTTTGGTGCGATTAGCGCGCAGGAATGTCGTTTTCAAATTGACAACGGATGACGGACTCTTGAAATTGTTTCTTTTAAGCTTTTTGGAATTTGTTTTTGCAAATAGGATTTAGACTAGGAATTTAGGTGCTCTGGAATTTTGTTGCACCACGCTTCTTACTCGCACACCTCTCACCGCAGTAGGAACTGAGCTCTGACTATATCGCGTCTTTAATCCTACATGTAACTGTAATCTTTTGGCAGACGCGATTGTAACTGTACTCCTTGATTCTCTAGTGATTCCCCGTTTTCAACGGAAAAATTTCCCAGAATTAAATAATCATTCTATAGTAAAATTACTATCTAAATTTGAAATTTTCATTCCATCTTAAAAAATATCCTTCCAAATTTAAAAATTTTCATCTTATTTGACAAACTTCCATTCCAAGAATAGGGTATCCCTTCTTATTTTGACTGCATGCTAGAGATGAAATGAAAGTCAAGATGAGTTCATGAAATATTTTAATCAGACTTTCATTCTAAGTAAGGATTTTCAGTCATAAATAGGTTAATCCAATCTAAATTAGAAAATATTTGTTGGAGTAGAATAAAAATTTAATCAAAAAATTTCAAAAACTCGTCCAGACTTTCATTCCATCTTGAACAAATAGATGTAGTTGGAAGGTAGAACTCATATTTAGACGGGAACTCATAAAAGAAAACTGAAAATTTTAGAATTTGAATGATAATTTACAAATATGAAGGATTTTTTTTTTTTATGAAATGTTTTTTCAACTTTCATTTCTCGTGGGAATTTCTCTGTT